CTCAGAGGAGAGGTATACTACTTGGTTATTAGTTACTACTACATAACCCATAAAACTGATTACATGATGGCTAAAATTCTACTGAGCAGCAAGGCATGTAATCCTCACACTTTTATTAACACTATGCACCACCCCTTGAGTAACTTGCATACAGATGCCAATAGGTGGCAGTAAATAGCAGTATACGTGTGAACTGGAAGGCCGAAATAAGTCGCATGGTTTCTCTAGTCAAAACAATATGTTTGAAGATAGCGAGGTGCATTTCTTCCCATGAGAAACTCCTAACAAGTCATTCATGACATGCAGAATATTGATTATGAACTGGGTTCTGTATATGTAACAGTGGATTGACCCACTTAGGTGATCTATTACTGTTCATCAGATTGCATGAGATCTGCTTGAAACAAAACAATAATTTAAAATGTTTTTGTCATATTTCCAGCAGTACCAACATTGAATGTGAAGTATTAGATTTTGATTTCATATGCATGTAATGATTTATTGTGGAAACACTTTAATTACACTTTCTTTCCTTTTGTTCTTCAGAGTCTTTGTATGTTCACACCACCAAGAATAAAGGATGGACAACCAGAGCTTGTTCCTGTAGGACCAGTTCAACTCGGCACCACAGTATCTGCTCATGTAGCCAAATCTAGAAAAACACTATTAGTAGAAGATATTTTGGGGGTAAATGGTTATCTTCCTTAAAAATAATCTTGGACAGACTATTAAAGAGTAGGTTAGTTGGGTAGAAAAAGTCAGATGGAGTGAAAATTCTTCAGTACTGGTAGAAAGGAATTTTTGAAGGGAAATGTTGGGAATGGGATGAGAAGCATTGTGAAGTTCCAGATATGCCTTCAGAAAATCAAGGACTTCAAGCTACTGTTGTTGTGGTTGTTGTTATGGTTGGTTGCATAGTCAGCCAGATGTTTAGACTGGAATTGGCATTTTTATCCACCTATCAAGTCCTTCCCAAGGACCTAGGATGGGCAGATGTGGTTGTTCGATGGTGTTAAAGGTATTGTTGCAGGATATAAGCTGTTCCAAGTAAAGCTGCCTTTTGCAATTGACTCGTGGTGATTTTGCAATGCCGATGGTGATGATGATGATGATTTTGGCTATGTAGGTGTCCAAATCCAGGAGGGTTTATAGCTTATTCATTTTCATCAGAAAGCCCAGGATTAGAATTTTCAACTATAGTAGTCTAGTGATGGGGAAAACAAATAAATAAAAGCAGAGCTATGTTGGTGAATTCACTGCAGTCCTTCTGTCTTGCTATAGGTATCATGAGGCAGCAATTCTGATGTTTGCCATTTCACTATTCTTTTCTGCTCCAGTTAAGATTGTTCTGGTAGGCTGTATACTCATTTAGATGCAAGTAGACAGTGATTTGATTGAACCCAATGTGGTGTCTGAGTGTCCTCCAGACTTCCTATCTTTCTTGACTTTTTATATTTAAAAAGTATATTTTAATAAAAACACAAGAAGTTGGAAAGCTGCAAAATAAAATGCCAGTTCCCAGAATTGTAATTAATTTCAGGAGTGCCACAGGTCTGTAAATGGGTCTAATAACCTTAGATTTATTTTTTTAAATGGGTATGATTTGTTTTGTAGTGTGTTTTGTCTGATAACATGACACCTGCCCAGAAAAAAGGACAAAGATGAGTAAGAACAGTAAAGTATCCTGCAAGAGTCTGCTGTTGTGAATGTAAAGTAGCATTCTAGTAAATTAGTCCTTCATAACTGGCTATAACTCCCAAGGCATCCATTTCATGAATGAACAGGTCCTTGTGCAGCAATTATTTTGTGAGAATGCCCACAATATGTTCTCAAAATCCTAAATGAGCCTAGAATCAATTCATCTACGTTAATATTGCCTATATAAGTAGTCCTTGTTTAGTGACCACAATTGGGACTGGCAACTTGATCATTAAGCAAAGTGGTTGCTATGTGAAACAGCGACTGTGCTTACAATCTTACTTTAGCTTTCCTTTGCTTTGCAGACCTGCAAAGGTTGTACCTGCAAGGATTGGTTGCAAAGTTACTTTTTCATCACCGTTGTAAGTGCAAACAGTCACTAAATGAGGCAGTCACTAAACAAGGACTACCTGTATTCAGATTCCTCAGTTTATGTTTGCATTTTTGCCAGTCCTGAATTTGTCTGCCTTGAATTTTACTTAGGTGCAGTTCAGTAGTAGAACAATGCAATGGCTGGATAGGGTTGTCCAGGGATTCATACAAAATATCTTTCTAACCTGTATGTAGGTGTCAGGAATTCAAAACTTTTGCATACCAGGCATCTTTCCCTCCAAGGTATGATGTTTTAGAAAAACGAAACAACTTCAGTAATATCTGTTACAATGCCTAAATTCTAACAAACATTTCCTCATTATGTAACAAATCAGTAATGCTGCAGCCCCTTTTTTGGGGGGAAACAATCAATAACTTGACTGAAGCTTCAATAGCAAAAGCTATTTTACCAGCATGGGATTAAAGTGCATGCATTATTTGATAAATATGTATGCTGTATATTCAAGAATATCATTAGGTGAATAAAATTATATAGATGTAAAAACTGAGAGCTACTAACAGAATATGAGAGGAGAAATTCACTATAACCAAGCAAGTCCACTGCAAGCATAGATTTTTTTCCCCATCCCTTTTTACCCATAGGAAAAGTGCTGAATAGGAGTCACTGACCAATGCAGATCATTTCTCTTGATAAAAATAATAGAACAGGAAGGCTCCATACACTTTTCTATGCATCTAGTCAACCTAATTTAGATTCTGCACTGGCCATTAAAGCATGATGATGATGACAGTGATGATGATGATCATTATCATTACAATTCTTTTGCCACAATTTAGCACCAAGTGTTTTTACATTTCAGTATTGGGCAGAATCTCTCAATCAGTGAATTTTTGCTTAAATATTTAATTGAGTTATCCTAGTTATTGATAAAACTATTTCATTATAAATGAACTAAATATGATATCATTAATATAAAACAGCATTTACCTTTCTAGGATGAACGGTTTCCCAAAGGAACAGGACTGGAATCAGGGACTCGTATCAAGTCTGTGCTTTGTTTGCCAATTGTTACTGTACTTGGTGATCTGATTGGTATCCTGGAGCTTTATCGAAACTGGGGTAATGAAACTTTCCATCTCAGTCATCAAGAGGTAAATCCTAAATGTAGCAGTGAGCATATTCATATATAACTCCATGCAGCTACCTGTAGTTCCATGGCTGGAAGCTATATTGAGGATATTCGTTTTGAAATCAAGAAGTTGCTAAATGAGACCACCCAGACACATTGGATCAGGAGTAAAGTTTTATACAATGGCATGATGAGCATGAGACACTAGCTAGAACATCCTTCACTTAGCCATACAGTTGATCCTGATCCTCAATGGGTTGTGCAGAATCATTCTCCTTGGCTTTAGCAGTTGAGTCAGTGTTGCAATCAGGCGAAAAAAAAATTCTTGGTGGCCAAGCCAAGATTATTAAATGGATGCAAAGGGTCAGATAATGCCAAGTGATGCCTTGAATCACCACCAATTGGGATCCAGTTGTCTCCTTTAGTTCTTGCCTCAAGAAATGTCCTAGCATGTGGCAGAATCTTACACAGGGCAGTGAGTGTTCACCAGTTTGATGATGTTCCTTCCTCTGGACAGATTCTATCAGATGATCCACCCTGTTTCTCCTTCAGAGGAGGATGACTGCCCACTTCACTGATAGGAATGTGCTTCATACATGAAAAAGCCAGGAGAAACCACTTGTGCCCAATGCGAACAATTTGGCACTATGTATTCTGTACAGGGTGACACTAGTAATTATTCATCTCATTGAAGAAGGCAGACTTTTGGCAGCTCCATGGAGTAGAAAGACTCAGTATTCTATAGGAATACTAATGTTAAGTCTGGTACTCTTGTGGATTCAGTCTGAAGAAGGAGCACAACACTAATGTCAGCACACTGCACTTTTGTCCCTCTTGTATCCTCTTGATAGATGTCTTTGCCAGATACACAGATGTATAATGCAACCTGTACTATAGCAAGGCACAGAATAGGATAGGACTCCGTAGGGAGAGCACTGATTCTTTATCTAATATCTCCCTTCCTTCTGTCCTACTTCTCACAATAATAATGGAAAGGTTTCATAGGATCCATTGCAAAGTGTTTATTTGTACTACTCCAGGTAGTCAGAGTCTGCAGTGCTGATGTGTCTCTTGGACTAGATTTGTAAAGTAGTTATAGATATAGATAATAGACTTTTTTAGATGTTGTGGTAGCATCTGAGTTTCATTTCAGATAAAATAGGATAGGGCTAAACCAAGCTTTTTTTCTTTTTCTTCCCATTTCATTTTCTACTTTTGCCTGTGGGTAACTTGGCATTTTAGGAGGCAGTGTGTATGGGCTTTCCATGGATACTAATATGATATCTTTCCACAAAGAGATGAAGACCATGGGGTGGGGATGGCTATATCTTAAATTAAATGAACAACTATACTAGTGAAAAGCATTTCATTTACATTTCCAACCTTATTACAGGCATTGCCTGTTTTGAATCTGGAACATTTTTGCTATAGGTAGAAGAGCATCAGAACATTTCCAGAAAGGTTGGAAGGTATATTTCAGACTTGAGACAAGACATTTTCCAAATCTAAAAGGTTTTGCAAACTTCTACAGTCTTTTATATATATCTCAATGTTATTGTTTTAATCCACATTATTATTTTAATTTTCTGCTAGATACCTTGAATAAGGTATTTGTTAAATAGATAAATATTATAAAATTTAACAGAAAATTTGAATAACATAATTAATTAATTAAGAATTAAATAACATAATTATGTTATTTAATTTTTTAAATTAAAAGTTTAATAACATAATTAATTTCAGAACTAATTAATGTAGTTCTGAAAACCCAGTTAGGTAGAGGCCATTTAAACTAGTAAACTTTTTACTAAATACTTACCCTTCATCATTGCTTATATAACCCAAATATGAGTAATAAGTTGCTAGAATTTTCAAAACATTAAGAAAATTTTGATGTCTTTCAAATAACCAAAATTTCTGT